CAATTTTCAACCTTTACCATCAAGAAGCTCATGCAATAAAACAAAAAGGAACTATACTGAAACAAGGCTTGTGGGATCATAAGGAATATATGTTTGCTTCAGGCAGTTTATCTAAGTGGAAGAATTCAGTGAGTTAATGCTTAAGGAAGTAGACAGCTTCATTTAATGAAATGAAGTATTTAGGAACATATATCTGTCACTATTTCTTGCCATGTAAAACAATAGATTTGTTACTTGTGAATGCAACTGCATTAACAGAAACATTTGCTCTTATTGAAACATTACCCAGAGCAGCAATTAAAGTTTGGGCTTGGATATCTATTCCAAGATATCTCATTAGGTATATGCAAATATTCTAAAATCCAAATAAATTAAAAACTTGAAGCATTTTTTGTCCCAAATATTTCAGATAAGGGATACTTAACCTGTATGATGAATAAATTTTTGCTATTTATAAGATACTCAGTGTATGGTATTTTTTTCTATAGCAACCTGAATGAACTGAGATACCAAGTTTATGCCAATCTTTGGCACAAATAATAAGTAACACCTTCTTGAGCTCCATGGAGCTTAATGTTGGCTCACTCTGCTTCTCATTTTAAAGTCAGGTTATTTGTTTTCTTGCTATTGAGTTGTGTTCCTTATATATTTTGGGTACTAATCTTTATCAGATGTAGTTTGCAAATATTTTCTCCCATTCCATAGGTTGTCTATTTATTGTTTATTGTTTCTTTGCTGTACAGCTTTTAAATTTGATGTAATTATGTTTGTCTATTTTTACTTCTCTTACGTGAGATTTTGGAGTGTGTTATAATTTTTTTTTATAGTCAGCATCAGGAAAAAAGAGTTTAATAGATATAGGGATACAGATAGAGGGGAAAAATAGATTGCAGAATGGCATACCATAACTGAGTGAAAAAGACATGACTAATCTTATAAAATAAATAGTATATATCGCAATGTGGTGTTGAAATGATTATTGTACTATCCTTGATTTGATTATTGCACACTGTGTGCATGCTTTGAAAGTCCATATTATACTGCACAAAGATATATGACAATAAAATATAAGTAAGAAATTATAAAATAAAATTTGTTTCTTCTATAAATGAGAAAGTGAGAGAGAGATCAAGAGTGAGAGAAAGAGCGTGAGTGAGTGAGAGAGAACAAGTGAGTGAGCACACTCCTAACAGGGTCTTGATGCCACAATTCACCCCCAACTTCAGCCAGTCCTGAATCATGGGTACGAGTGTGCCAAGTTTACTTGGGGGGGTGTGTGTGTATGTCAGAGTGCAAAAATTGAACCTTTTTATGTGGGTCAGTGTTGCAGTGTTGTAATCAATGCCATGATTTTTGCTGTGCCACCGTCTGACTTTTGTTATTATAATTTGTTTTGCAAGTTTATAAAGTAAAGTTCAGAACAGTTGAATTATTTGAGTGATCTATGAGATTGCTATAATGGTCAAATTAGATTATACTGGAAAACTCTTGGCACAGTACATGGGATTATAGTACCTAGTACTTCATAAATGATGGCCACTATCAATAATATAATTATTGTTTTATTTTTACTACTACCCTGCCATCAGGTCCTTTTCTTTAATCTAGTCTATATTCATCAATAACCTGTGTGTAAACTTCCTTCCTTGTATTTCTCCCTAAGCACACTCTGAAGCTCTTTTTCTCAGCCTAATTTCCACATCTGAACCACAATTGCTCTCTTTATAGTCTTTCCCATTTGTGCCCCCAGCATTATTGCCTGAGCTTCTGCACTTCCTGAGGGGCTTGTGAGTTTTGCTCATTAGATGCTAAATTACTACCACTGAAAAGTGACAAATGACAATTTTCAACCTTTACCATCAAGAAGCTCATGCAATAAAACAAAAAGGAACTATACTGAAACAAGGCTTGTGGGATCATAAGGAATATATGTTTGCTTCAGGCAGTTTATCTAAGTGGAAGAATTCAGTGAGTTAATGCTTAAGGAAGTAGACAGCTTCATTTAATGAAATGAAGTATTTAGGAACATATATCTGTCACTATTTCTTGCCATGTAAAACAATAGATTTGTTACTTGTGAATGCAACTGCATTAACAGAAACATTTGCTCTTATTGAAACATTACCCAGAGCAGCAATTTTGTTAATAAACATAAAGACCTTATGCTTGCTGTCAAATATTTTCTTCCCATCTTGGAACTTTTTCCAGAAAGCTTCTTGACTTTAGGACATAGCCTTTCAGGGACCTTAGCCTCTGTGATGATTTGAGAAATGCAATATATTCAGCTGCATTTCACAGCCAGAGTGGCTGTTCTAAGCTGAGCCCTAAGGTTCCTCTTGTGACAACTTGAGGTCTGAGTTCATGTGCTTTTCGTGAAGCAGAGAATGAAAAGTAGAAGCTCTAAGACGTCAGAGCCAAAGCAAACTGCATTGTAGTAGGAAAATTATTCAAGTGCTCACTCTGACATCTTCCCCCTGTATTCCTAGCCAAATGACCCTAGCGAGTTTTCACTTTCTGATTCTGCCTAACTTTTCCTGTTTCCATTTGGCTACTGTCGTTCTATTCTACCTTATTTTTCTCACTAACGTAATCAATGATCTCCATATAATAGAACAAATGAGTACTTTTTAGTCATCTACTTTGACCCATCAGCAGAACTTTCTACTTTTAGCTAGTTCTTGTTGTTCCTGGTTTCCATGACTCCACGTAGTCCATTTTCATTTTATCACTTTTACTATTTTTTGGACCTCTGAGGTTCATTATTTTCTAACATCAGCCAGTAAGCACTGGTTGTTCTTTGGTGATCAGTGTGGGTCCTAGTGTGGGTCCTAGTCTCTCATTTTTGCTCACTCTGAAGAATCTCATCACACCGCTGGCTTCAGCTGCCATCTGTGTGCAGGAGATTTACATACCTTCCCTCTGAACGGCAGCCAGACTCTTCTAACTTTCTATCTAATTGATATTTCCATATATATCTCAAAGGCATTACAGACTCAAAATGGCCAGTCTAAATGCTCAGTTTTGTTCCCCAAACACTGACTCCTTCCAGCGCCAATATCTGTTCTGTGGAGCCCTCTCTTCCTGCATCCTCTGTCCGATTCCTCAGCATGTCATGTGTATTTATCTCTTAGCTGTTGCTCACATCTCTTTATCTCTGTCCAGTGCCATCCACTAGCACAGAACTTGGCATACAGAGGAACTCAGGAAATATTTGTTTAATGAATGAGTGAATCTTCATCAATGGCACCTTAGTCCAGGCTACTATGAACTTTGGCCAGGACAACTTCCAGAGCTTCCTAGGTATGGTCTTGCCAATCCAAACAGTTTTCTCCAATCTAAATAGTTCTTAACTAAAGAAATCCATCAAAAATAAATCTATCACATCCTCCTCCTTTTCCCAATTTAAGTATTTTTACTGGTGTCTCATTGTTCCCAGGAAAATAAAAATTTGTAATATCTTATAATGACCTGTATAGTTTTTCTACTACCCGTCTGTCTAGTCTCATATCACGCTCTACAACCTCTCTTTGTTCCAAATATACCAACTGCTCTGCTTTATGCCCTACACTCTGCCATACTCCCTTCAGCCATGGAAATGTCTACCTGATCCACTTTCTTACCTCTCCTATCCCTATATCCTAGTTATCTCGTACTCATCTTTCAGCTCTTGGCTTAATAAGTATCACTGTTGTCCTTAATGTCACTCATCTTGACCTTCCATGACACCATATACATATGAGAATATTTTTTTTTTAAAGAATGTGTATAATTATTTAATTAATGCCATTCTACTCTCAGTATGTAAGGTCCATGAGGGCAGAAATAATATTTGGCTATAACTCTGTTCTAGTCTTGAAACCCATCATGGATGGTGTTCAATATTATTGGTTAGATACATTGATTAAATGTAAATCAGGTGTCTGCATCCAGGCCTTGGTTTGGCCTTGGAAGACAACACAGCCTTAGGGATAATAAACTGTTGCTTAGTTCAGAAAATCCAGTATTCTTCATATTGAAATTTATTTGTACAAAGCACAAATTTGCCCAATGGCGATCCAATCCTTTTGCTGATAAGTTCTTCAAGCAGAAGTTTCAGTTTTTAGAAGCTTAGACCCAGGAAATGAACAGCACTCAACTATCTCAACCTAATTTCCTAAATTTCTTCCATTAGCAGCAATATGTGCCCCTGGGTGCACATTTTACCTGATTCAGCTTTGTGCATGGAACCTGTTCAGACAGAGGCAGCAATTGTGTTCTGGGGCTGCAGAGAAGCAGAAAGGGCTCAGCAGACCACACTCTGGAATATCCACATTGTGCTCTGCTTGCTCTGTGCATTGAGATGTCACTGGAGTCTGTTGCCTCCTGCTTCTGAATACTTTATTTGTAGCACTTAATTCCAGAACCAGTGAGCCCATACTTTACTATTACTGAGGACTGTTAAAAATTACAATGCATTTTCACAGGTTTTGTCACATTCTCCAGCTTTCACTTACAGCATTTAAAAAAATATTTTTTTCTTTTAATTTATTTTATACATTCAATCACTGTATATCACTTAGCTCGTAAAGTTAATTTTCCAACATGAATACATTTCATACCAGTCCAGTTGGGGATAATATGCTTGTAATCATCAATTGATAATAATCCATATCTTTGGTTTATTTCCTATTTTTTATATTAGAAAACTGAGATTCAAGTGGGCAATGGCCTATATTCTGTGACCCCATTAATAATATTGGTTGGTTTCAAACTAACCTTTTATGATTTAAAAACTAATAATTATTCTACTACATTATGTAAATAATGTGTCTTTTATCTCTTTGTTATTATGGACTGAATTATGTCCTCCTCTTCTCCCCAAAATTCATATATTGAAGCCTTTATCTCCAGTGTGGCTTTATTTAGAGATAGGACCTTTTAAAAAGTAGTTAAGGTAAAGTGAGGTTATAAGGGTGAGACTCTAATCCAATAGACTAGTGTCATTGTAAGAGGAAGAGACAATGCTCATTTCGGCAGCACATATACTAAAATTGGAACGATACAGAGAGGATTAGCGTGGCCCTTGTGCAAGGATGACATGTAAATTTGTGAAGTGTTGCATATTTTTCCAAATGATGTATAGTGATCCAATGTGTGTGCGTGTGTGTGTAAAATAAAATAAATATTAAAAAATTAAAAAGCAGAAGACACATCAGTGATGTTCCTCTTACTCTCTCTTCTTCCCTGCTTGCTGAGAGAAAAAGCCATGTTAGAACACAGCAAAAAATCAGTAATTTGCAAACCACAAGGAAGAGACCTCACCAGATGCTAACCCTGACCACACCTCCCTCTTGTGTTTCTGGTCTCCAGAAAGGTGAGAACATAAACATCTGTTTAAGCTGCACAGTCTGTGGTATTTTGTTACTGCAGCCTGAGCAGACCTAAACACATGCCAAGTCAGATTGCACAAGAGGATTCAATGGGTGACAGGTAAGGGGGCTGAAAGCTCCCCATGTCAAAGGAAAGATAAACCCTAATGTGGTCTCTCGGGATCATAGGACACAAGTCACCTCTCCTAGGGCAGAGATGCCCTCTTCACTGTTACGTACAGTGGGTATGGACCCAAAGAATGAACTTAATCCAGAATCCAAGTCAGATGTTTCTGAGGCTCCTAACATTCTATATCTCCCATTAGTCAGCACATAGTGACTCTAAATAAAGATGACACATGATTGAATTCTAGGATTTGCTATTTTAAGTTTTAAGATGAAATAAAACCAGATTACTGTTGAAAAACAACAGAAAGATCTTAGCCTAATTTATTGGAGATGAGACAATGGACTGTCAGCTCCCTAGGTTTCGCCTTCTATAAGCACCAGCGGGCCAAGCTGTGAGAGTACCTCTTTCACTCCTGACCTCCTTCACTCTGGCTCCCCAGAAGGGAAATGCTACCTTTCAAAAGGAATAGTGGCCTATGGAGACTCACCTACAGTTGTGGAACTGCACGAGACCCACACTTGATCCAACCTTGAATGGAATCTATTTTCCCTATTGTTAAAAACTTTGGACTCATGACCCCTCTCCCTCTACTCGCAGGTATCGCATTTTCAATGACCCCTCTGGAGGATAGCTGTCTATAGCAGAGATAGAGTAATTGGGAGAGGGGGAAAGGGCTGAGGGTCAAACATAGGATAAAAAACATATTTATATGTATGAAAGTAGAAATGGAACAGTATTGGTGACGACATGCTTGATTAAGACACTATGCAGTTTATCCTAGATGGGAAACTACACTTGGTGTGTTGTGATGATACTCAGGGAATGAGTGTTAGGCAATATAATTTAATATAAAAAAATAATAATAAGCAGGAGGAAAAAAAATGCACATTTGATGACTGAAGAGAGTTGTATGGACACAACTGGGGTCTACTTTATAGTATGTTCATTCTACTCCCTGGGGTTTATGCCTAGGATCAGATTTGGATACATGTGTAAGGATATGTCAGCTGTGCTAGCTAGTGGATATACTTGGACTAATTGAGTTCATTGGTAGAACAATTGAATGGGGGGGCGGAAGGCATTGAGGGCAATCATGAATGTCAGGGACAATGGAGGAGGAAGATGGGACATGGCAGAGGGTGGGGATGGGGAACCTAGGATGGCAAAACAAAAGGCAAGGTATGCAGGACACAAAAATTGGGAAATCATTTGCTGAGAACATATATGTTGATGTGCTTGATTGAGCCAATGCACAGTGTATTTTGGATGGAAAATTCATATGTGTGTTGTGATGAGAAAAAAAAATTTATAATAAAAAACAAAGTATAAAAAAAAAAAAAAAAAGGAGAGAGAAGAGGATAAAGACAGCAGTGAACAATAGAGAGGCAGGATGTTAATGAGAAATAGATATGGTTTATTACCTGTTGATGATGACATGTATAATATTCTCAAATGAACCGGTCTGGGAAGTATTTCATGATGGGTGAAGTCTTTTTAATAAGCAAAATGAGAAATAGTGATTGACTGTTTAAAAAAATTATAATAATAATTATTGAAATAAAATTAAAAAAAAAAAAAAGGAATAGTGGCCTGATCTGAAGGCTACACAATATTTGACGAGTAATATCTCCATTATGTTCAAGGAATGGCAGCCAAACAAAACAAATCTCCAGAAGCCTCAGACAATATGATCTTTGGTGGGCAGAATACCTTTCCTGGCCACGGGTCTACCTTTGATTGTATTCACTAATTTCACCTCTGTCAAGAACCATTACAGATTAAACAAATTATAAAAGATTGACTTCTAGGAAAGGAACTGAAAGGCATCTCTCTGGGGTTACCCATTAATTTCACACCACATGGGTAGGTGGATAACAAAACTTACAGATTTATAGTACTTCTTTTACAGAAGAGGCTCCCCTGGGCTATCAGTGGTTCTATAATCTACCCAGTTTTACTTTTACAAAAGTGTAATCAGTCACATTTCTGCAAGGTTAAAGGTGGCTAAGGTTATTTTATTTTATTTTAGAGGTTTTTGCATTAGGGTGCATGTGGTTGTCGGGAGAGAGTGAGAGACAAAGACAGTGAGAGGGAAAGTGGGAAATCACTCCCAGGAGGGATGGTCACTCCATAATCCCTTCTCCTTTGTTATCCTTTGGGATCTTGGGTACACATGCACTTGCTCCTGGCATGATTTTCAAGAAACTGGATCTGGGACTCGAACTGTGGTCCGCCATGTGGGAGTCCAGCAATATAACCACTATGCCATCTGCTGGCCCCAAGGTTTTTTATTTTTTAAAAAGAATTTATATACTTCATTTCTTTAGAACAGCTTTAGACCTACAGAAAAGTTGAAAATACAGTACACAAAGAGATCATATACCCTTCAACCAGTTTTCCCTATTAATAACCTGTAACTTTAGTATGGTGCGTTTGTTGCAATTAATTGACAAGCTATTATTAACTAAATTCCATAACTTTATTAGAATTTCCTTAGTTTTGGGACCAGCAGTTAGCGTAATGGCTATGTCGCGGAACTTCCTTGTAGTCAACCACGGTTCTGGTCCTGGATCTGGTGGCTTAAACTCATGCTGGGTGTGTGTGTGTGCATGCCCAAGATCCCATGCCCTGTAGCAAAACAAAAACAAAAACGAACAAACAAAAACTCTCAAAAAAATTTCCTTACTTTTTACCCAGTATCTTTTTTTCTGTTTTAGGATTTCATTCTGAATACCACCTTATATTTAGTTCTTATATCTCCTTAGGTCCCTCTTGGCTGGCCGGTTTCCTAGACTTTTCATATTTTTAATAATATTGACAATTTTGAGAGGTACCAGTAAGGAATTTTGTAAAATGTCCCTTACCTGAGATTTGTCTATTGTTTTTCTCATGATTTGTTAGATTTCTCTACTGTAAAGCTACTCTGTGATCTCCATTTTCATACCATACCTTTTGGATAGGAGCCATTTTGCACAGCCTACCATTAAGAAGTGAGAAACTATTCACAAAGTCATGAGTATAAGGTAGTTTAACTTTTATAAACTAAATTTCTATCATAGCCCAGGAAATCTCACTATGTGAAAGAAACCTGAAATGAATCATTTGAAAACTCAAAAACTCCCTTTCTCTTGACTAACCATGGCACTCAGAAAAGTGTTGAATGACTAGTTTAGATTTTAATTTTGAGTTGGTAGAGCTCTCACGTTTCCCTAGAATGGTTTGGCTTATTTTTTTAATTAAAATTTTGTACAATTTTTAATTGATTAATTTACGTTCATTCACTGAGCATTGTCACAACATACAAAAATGTGCTTTCCCATCCAGAATATACTGCATATTTTCTTAATTATACATACTATCATTGATAATTTTCTATTTCTGGTTTCATATATATATATATACACACACACACACACATATATATATTTCCCCCTATTTCTCACCCTCTGCCATTTCTCACCCTCCTCACACACTCTCTGTCGTGTCTACAGTTGTTTTCTATTTCTTTCCCCCAACATTTATTAATTCACAAAATTTCTTAAATAACCTAACTACTTTCAATAGCAAGTTCAGCTATGAACTTTGTGTATCTGTGAATACATGTCTGACTTTAGGCGTGAAACTCTGAGTAGAATGAATATCCTATGAAGTAGCACCTAGCTGATGCTATATAGCTTACTACAGTCATTAAATAGGTATTTTTAATGTATTTTTTAATTTCAAGAAAAGCAATTTTAGCTTTAAAAATCAAAATCAAAGACGTAGTAAGAGAACTTTGCTTAAAACTTAAAGCCAGGAAATAAGTTAGGATTTTGTTCAACATGAACCTATTGGCAATTTAAGAAAAGACAAAAATCCTTGAAACTGGAAAACAAAGCCTAGAAGAAAATCAGCAATGTTTAAGTCAAAAGTCATAAGATTCTATTTCACCAGTTCAGTCTCATGTACTTAATGTATCTTCTGTTGTGGTCCAATCTTCCTGAATAAATTCTGGGAAGTAATATTCAACTCCAGACTTGTCTCTACAATTAAGTTGGTCGTTTTCTTAGTTTTTCAATTCTTATTTCTGTGTGTCTGTATTTAATTTTCTTGATATAGCACTCCTTTCAGAACTTCTTGGAGATGTGGTCTGGTGTTGGTAAATTCTTTCAGGTTTTGTTTATCTGAGAATGTTATTGTCTTTTCTTCCTATATGAGGGATAATCTTGCTGGGTACAATATTCTTGGTCGAAATTGTTTTTTCCTTGGGGACCAGCAGTTAGCGTAATGGCTATGTTGCTGGACTCCCACGTAGTCGACCACGGTTCGAGTCCCAGACCTGGCGGCTTAAACTCACGCCAGGCGTGTGTGCGTGTGTGCCCAAGATCCTGAGAGGAGAATGGAGGAGAAGGGATTGTGGCGTGGCCATCCCCCCTGGGGGTGATTTCTCGCTTTCTGTCTCTCTCTGTCTGTCTGGTGAGCGCACGCACCCTGTAGCAAAAAACAAACAAACAAAAACAAAACAAAACAAAAAACCCTCACCGAAATTATTTTTTCCTTAATACTTGGAATATATTTTCCCATTCTTTCTTTGCTCATATCATTTCTGATGACAGGTCCACTGGTAGCCTGATGGGACATCCTTTGTAG